TCTCTCTCTCTACTCTCTCTCCTCTCTCTTCTCTCTCATCTCTTTCTCTGATATATATATATTTATATTATATATATTATATATATATATATATATATATATATATATATATATATATATATGTATATATATAATATATATATATATATTGTATTATATATGTATATATATATATATATATATATATATATATATATATATATATATAATATATATATATATATATATATATATCATACAAATATATCAGCTATTATAGTAAAGGTACGTGCCTCGAAAAGCAGACCCCTACTGCCAAATGCACGATTAATTCGACAGAACTAAGAAACACCTAAAAGTAACATACATATGATAATAATCACTACATACATTTGATGATCACGAGGCTATGTGAAATTTCATCCAAACCCAAACGAAATATACGTTAACCACGAGCTGGATTCAGAAATGCTATCATAAGTTATTGGGTTTAAGTTTTTGTCAAGCATCAGTTTTCCAGAACTGATCAAATTAAATTTGATTTTAAGAAAGAGAGCAAGACAAGAGAGAGAAAGAGAGGAGAGAAAGAAAGGAAAGAGAAAGAAGAGGAGAGTGAGACAGGAGACAGCATGATAAAACAAATTAATTAAACATAAGCTAGAGGTAAACATTTACGTTTCGATATATGAATTTTAAATGAGAGAGACCGAGAGAGCAGAGCGAAAGAAAGAGAAGAGAGAAAGAAAGAGAGAGAGAGGGAGGAGAAAGAGAGAAGAGGAGAGAGGAGAGATGGAGAAAGAAGAGAACGGAAGAGAAAAAGTGAGAGGAGAGAGAGAGAGAGAGAGTGAAGAGAGAAGAAAAGAGAGGAGAGAGAGAGATTTCAACGCCCCGCAAGTAACGCGCCCAAAAGCTGTAATATAAACCGGAAGTACACTCACAGGAAGTAACTCTCAACAGTTAAATCAACCGCCCGGTGTCTGTGATTAAGCTGTGTAATTAGCAGGCGCTGTTGACGTTGCGTAAACCGAAGGCAAGAGGCATAAACAGCATTCTATTATGTGTACGCAGAATGTCATAGTTACCGCTGGCCAGTTAAGCGAACACTCGTTTTCTTTGTCGTTTCCTTGTTTACATCCGTTGACCCGAAACCTGTCTGGGAATTTTCTATTTTTTTCGTGATTATTCGCTCAGACAAGTAAGTCAATTAGATATCTTTGTATTTGGCGATAATATAGATAAATTAGGATGTAGGATTAATGGTTTTAATTCATGATATTATTTTTTGCCGTTATCATTCGCTTAAACAGACCAACATATCACATGCCTTAGATATGTTATATGAACTGTTGATGAAAAATAATATCCCATGATTAAGCAATTTATTTATCTGGTTCCTCTCGCCCCGGAATTAACACATAACCATAACTTGCATCACTTCCTCTTTTAACAAGCATATCCATCATGTTTGTTCCGTCTGTGTTCTTCGTCTTGTTCTACTGCACTCCTTTCACTCGTGTTCATCAGCCTTCCCTTCCTCCCTTCTTCCGTTTCCGCGTGGCTTCCCTCCCCCCTCTCCCCTCCTCTTTTCATCATCTCCAAATTCTCTTATCAACAAGCTTTCAAATCTATTAAACAAAAGCAGAGCGGCGTGCGGTTTGAATAAATATTTGAATCGGGTTTGTTATGCTGTAAAAAGGATGGTTAAGGGTGTTTGGATAGACATCGTTATTAGGTTTTGATTATTCGGACAAATAGGGGAGAGAGAGAGAGAGAGAGAGAGAGAGAGAGAGAGAGAGAGAGAGAGAGAGAGAGAGAGAGAGAGAGAGAGAGAGAGAGAGAGAGAGAGAGAGAGAGAGAGAGAGATTCTTATGGAGAGGGAGACAGACAGACAGAAAAGAATTGATTTACCATTAGTGAGAATGAAGAACAAATAAGACAACACAAGAAAAGAAAACGAACGAATACAAGAGGAACAAAATAGAAAAGAAAAATGGAAACAGAGAGAAACAAGATAAAAATATCCCTTCACAGTTACCAGAACACAGCCCCCCGGCATTTTTTACCCGCCAAAAATGTCTCAGCGTCGTTGTTCTGGCAACAGTTGATGCCACACGCTTTGGATCAGAAAATTAGGTTGAAATTCCGCCTTCCATTGTGCTTTTCGTGTGCGTTAAGGTGTCAAGACAAGTCATGCATTATTTGGGCTTTTAAATACGATTCTGTTTAACGAGAAGGCGGTCTGATTACTTAAAAGGCGCGAGAATGAATTTTAAGGAAAAAAAAAATGTAGGTTAGAATCATAAAAAGGACAAGAATGTATTTCCTTTTTTAATGGTGTTAAGAATAATTCTGCCATAAAAGGGGCATTATAAGGTTCGTTAATTATATGATATCAGACAATGGGAACAACCACCATACCAGGCAATACCAGGTACCCGTAAACCACTGGACAGACACGGGACACACCTGGTTACCCGTCGCCATAGTTCACTGAGTCGAACAACCTCCATTAAATTCTCTTTTTTTCTTTGGAATTAAAAGTATCTTGGTATTTCTCTGGCCTTCCTCTGTCTCCTTTCTTCCTTTCCTTTTTTTCCCTTCCTTCTCGCTCTCTTTCCTTCGTTTGTCCTTGCTTTCCTCCCTCCTCTCTCTTTTCTTTCTATTCTTCCTACTTGGCGTGTGTGTGTGTTTGTGTGTAAAATTAATATAGATAGATATATGTGTGTGCATATCTATCTGTATATATATATATATATATATATATATATATATATATATATATATATATGTATGTATGTATTTATTTCTTATTTATAAGGTATGACAAGAAACATGGTTAATAACATGATTCACCTATTATGATAAGCATTGCCACAATCATCATTCATATTGTCACATCCTCATAACACACAACTTTCCCGGGTGTTGGGAAAGGCTGCCCTATGATCATTCTCGCCCTCATAGCCATCACCAACATCAGACTTCACCTCATTATCATCATAACCTGTTATTATCATAGCCGTTATCTCTCCTACTAATTTAATGTCCCTTATCCCTCATAACCCTTATCATTTCCCTCTAATTTGATACCTCTTATACCTTACCATAACCTGTTATTATCATAACCCTTTTATCTCCCTCCTTATCTAATCCCCCTTATCTCTTATCATAACCCTTATCTTTTCACCCCAATTTAACATCCCTTATCTCACCCCCCTTATTATCGTCATTTAACCCTATCATAACACTTATGTCTTCTCTTTTCTTTAATGCCCCTTATCATAAACCTTATCCCTCCCCCCTTAATTATCGTCCCTTATATCTACCCCTTAACTAATGCCCCTTATCTCATCCCTCTTATTTAACGTCCCTTACCCCCCCCCCCCTCTTATATAATGCCCCCTTATCCCTTCCCCATTATTTAGCGTCCCTTGTCTCTCCCCCTTATCCCTTCCCCATTATTTAGCGTCCCTTGTCTCTCCCCCTTTATCTAATGCCCCTTATTCCTTTTCTTCGTGGCAGGTCTCCGTGCAGGTCACCGTGTACGTGGAGGATGTGAATGACCACGCCCCCGTCTTCGCTATCAAGAACATCACGGTCACGGTGGATGAGCTCACGCCCGTGGGTGAGTCTGGGGGAGGTGGGAGAGGGGGGGGGAGAGAGGGTGAAAGGGTGGTGGGAAGGTGAAAGGGGAGGTGGGAGGGGAGAGGGAGAGGAGAGGGTGAAAAGGGAGGGAGAGGGAGAGCGGGAAAAAGGAGTAGGCTGAATAGATTTATTTGTATTATTATTGTTAGTAATAGTAGTAGTATTACGACTGCCGCTACTAATGATCAGATAATGGTAATAATGATTATATTGTTTTCGTTGTTGAAGTTATTATTATTATTAAAACTATTATTATTATCATCATTACTATCATCATTTATTAATATTTTATTATAATTACTCCTATCATTTATAAATATTTTTTGATTATTATTACTCCTATTATTAACATCATTATCACCCCTGCTACTACTACTGATATCAAAACCAATATCACCACAATCATCATCATCACTCTACCCCTCCTTATCCTCACCCCCCCTTTTTCCCCCCAGGCCTAACCATCCTCCCAGAGATCCGAGTGGCCGACGGCGACAAGGCCAACACAGCCAACTCGGAGGTCACCCTCGAACTGCGCGAGGGCGACCCCGAGGGACACTTCACCATGGCGGACCGAAAGAGGGGCACCATCACCCTGGCCAAGCCCTGGACTACGACGCCGGGCCTGACACCTTCCTGCTGGGGTGGTGGCGAAGGTGAGTTGGAGGGGGGGGGGTGGGAAGGAGGGAGGGAGGTGGTGGGAGAGGTGGGGAGGGGAGTGGGTAGGAGAGGAGGGAAGGGGAGTGGGTGGAGAGGAGGGGGAGTAGGGTGGTGAGTGGGAGAGGGAAAAGAGGGAAGGAAAAGGAGTGGGGAAGGGGAGGGAAGAGAGGGGAAGAGTGGGGTGGTGGAGGGGTAGGAGAGGGAGATGGAGAGAAGAAAGGGAGAGGGGAGAGGAGTGTGGAATGGAAGGTAAGAGTGAGGGAGAAATGGAGTGGTGAGGGATAAGGGAGGGAAAGGAGTGGGTGGGGGTGAAGAAGGTGAGTGGAGGAGGGTGGAAAGGGAAAGGAATGAGGAGAGGGCTAGATAAGGAGGTGAGGCGTGGGAGGGGAAAGGGAATAGCGAAGGTGAGTAATAGGAGGGTGCGAAGAGGAAAAGTCGGGGAGAAAAACGAGGGTTGGAAGGGGGTGGTGAGGGGAGAGGATGAGAGGAAGATGAGAAGGGAAGGGGTTGGGTGAAGCGATGAGGGAAGAGAGGGAGAAGGGAGAGGGGAGAGTGGGGTTTTGAGGGGTCACGTGAGATTATAAAGATGACAGGAAAAATACATAAGACCAAAAAAAATAATAATGATAATAAAAGAATTAAAAAAATATATAAAATAGATCAATAAAGATACTAATAGAAGCCACCACCTAACATTTCCTCCCTCCCCCCAGGACATGGGCACCCCGTCCCTGAGCTCGACGACCACGGTGACGGTGGTGGTGGTGGACGCCGACGACCTGCCTCCGGTGTTCAGCCACGAGCGCTACTTCGCCAAGGTGTCCGAGCATCCGGGACACGACACGGTGAGAAGGGGCGGTGTTTGCTGTAGATGTAGATGAGTTTAAATACTAAGTGTAGTGATGAAGGTTGATTAAAATGGGGATGGAAGAGTGGTGATGAGAAGAGATGGAAATGCTATGCAGAGTTTATAGCGCAATATATATACATACATACATACATATATATATATATATATATATATATATATATATATATATATATATATATATATATATATATATATATATATATATATACGTATGTGTGTTTGTATGTATGTTATTTTTAACGTATATAACCAGAAATCATTATGTTTTACGGTACATTTTACTCCGTAATGTGGAGATGTAAAGTTATTAGATATTTACCCCCCCCCAAAAAAAAAAAAAAAATAATAATAATAATAATAGTAAATAAGTAAATAGATAAATAGATAGATAAGATAATATTAACTAACTAAATAAATAAACATTAATGATAATAAAGGGCCCCCATTTCTAACCCCCCCTCTCCCTTTTGACCCCCAGGGCGTCCCCATCCGAGAGGAGGTAACCTTGACCCCCGGCCCCCTCCTAGCTCTCGACGGCGACGTGGGGCAGAACGCAAGCCTCCGCTATACGCTCGTCCGTTCCCCGGCCTCGGAGTACTTCACCCTCGACCCCCTCAGTGCCCAGCTGTTCCTCACGAAGCACCTCGACCGGGAAGCGCTGGCCGACAGTACGCTCGTCCTCCATGTTCGAGCGGAGCAGGTAGGGCTTGGAGGTGTTTTGAGGTTGATCTGGATTTGAATTCTTTTTGGGCCCATAATTTGGTCCCACCGGGTTCAGGTCCAACGTTTAACCAGTGTCGCGCCGCGATCAGGCGATGAGGGGGAATTTGAAATTTGTGTTTCTCTTTCTCTCTTTCTTCTCTTCCTCATTTCTGTTCTGTTTTTTTCTTTCTCTCTTTCTTTCTTTTCTCTTTCTCTCTTCTCTCTCTCTCTCTCTCTCTCTCTCTCTCTCTCTCTCTCTCTCCTCTCTCTCTCTCTCTCTCTCTCTCTCTCTCTCTCTCTCTCTCTCTCTCTCTCTCTCTCTCTCTCTCTCTCTCTCTCTCCTCCTCTTCTCTCTCCCTTTCTCTCTCTCTCTCTCTCTTTCTCTCTCTCTCTCTCTCTCTCTCTCTCTCTCTCTCTCTTCTCTCCTCTCTCTCTCTCTCTCTCTCTCTCTCTCTCTCTCTCTCTCTCTCTCTCTCGATTCTTTGAAGGTATTTCCATATTTTTTTAAATCTAGAGATAATTTAGTCGTAACGAATCTGGTGTGGAAATTTGGATTGTGATTTTATATTCTTCCAAGCTTTCGAGTAAAAGCAAAACATTTACGACTTTCCCAGGGAGTAAACGGCGCCTTCAACTACCACGTGGTGGGCGGCCAAGGAGCCTTAACCGTCAACCCTCTGTCAGGCTGGTTGACGGTGGACAACCACAACATCCTAGACCGTGAGGAGTCCCCCGTCATCACCCTGTACGTGTGTGCCAACCAGATCGCGCCCGTCGTCCAGGCACCGCCGGGCGTCAGGCAGACGTCCCTCTTCCGCAACAGGACTTCAGGAGGCGCCGACGACAGTCCGAGAGGAGGCCCGGTTGACGGCAAGGAGGAGGAGGAAAGGATCCCCGAAGCCCCCGACGGAAAACCTTCCACGACGTCCCAGGAGAGGTCGCGAGAGTCACCGACGCGAGTCACGGTTCCGCTTCTGAGGCGGAGGACGCGACCCACACCGTCTACGCGAGCTGGGGAACGAATCAGGAACAGTCCTTCGGCAGAGTCCCGGGCGCCGTCGGCCGTCGTCTCGCGTCAAAGAAGGGCCGACGCCCAAGGGAAGGGAAAGGCAGCAGGCGAAAGAAACTCGAGGGAGCTATCTAGAAGGGAATCACGAGTGTTAGCAGATGCCAAAAGGAACAGAGGACCTTCAGAAGACAATGAAGACGGTTTTGACGTAACAACAACACCCGAGACGACAACGACAACAGCAACGACAACAACGACGACGACGCCAGGACCAAGATCTAGGCTGCAGCGCGTGAAGAGCAACCTCTCGAAACGACGCCTCCTCTCTCCCAGACGCCTGAGGAGAAGAATCGAGGAGAACCGAAGGAGCTCCTCGAGACGACGAAGTTCTCGCTCCGCACGATCAGGACCCGAAGCCAGAGACTCACCTGACACTCCTGACTTCAATTCCGACTCGGAATCCTGTGCCAAGATTGAGCTGAAACTCCTCGATGCTAATGACAACAACCCAGAGTTCCTCCCGAGTAACCAGTACCAGTTTACCATAAGTGAAGAGGCACGAGAGGGCACCGTCGTAGGTTCGGTAAGGGAGAGATGCACAAATAATTGATATTGTTGGGAGATATATTAGATAATGTATTATATAATTCGCATAGAGTATTCAGAAAAAAACAATTAAAACCCCTCAATCACACCATAACTGATCACAACCCCCCCTTCTCCCCCACAAAACAGGTACAAGCCGAGGACCGCGACGAAGGCGGAAACGGCCGCGTCACCTACTCCATCCAGTCCCCAGGCAACAGCACGAGACGCGACCGCACCAAGGCCTTCACCATCGACGAGGACAAGGGCACCATCCGCCTGGTCACCAAGATGCTACCTGGCGAGGTCACGCTCTTCGTGGAGGCGTCTGATCGGCCGTCCAACCCTTCGGAGACGAGGACCTCTCTCGCTGTCGTTACTGTTTAGTAAGTGCCTCGACGTCGGATGTTATGGGGTTTATTAGTATATTGGTTTATGTTTTGTTCGTAGTGTTTTCGTATTATGGTATTATTGATATGTAGGTTCTCGTTTGATCTGGGAGCGGTTTCATATAATTGCCTTATTGATATTTGGTTATATTTCGTTTTTAGAGTCTTTTCACATCACTGAACAGTGTTTTTATATCTGAACTATCCAATTAGCAATATATAAATCCAATGGCAATTACATTAAAGATACACGCACGTAACTAAACCCATTACTCCATGACTGTCTTAGCATTAATTTACTACAATTTCTCCTCCTCCTCTTCCTTCTCCTTCTTCTGTCCAGCGTCCAGGCAACCCAGATGTGGGAGCCGAGGTTCGTGGGCGCCCCCTACGAGCTGTGGGTGGGGAGTGACGCCACCGTGGGCACCAGTGTGGGCCAAGTTCGCGTCGTGGACATGGAGGGCTCGGAACTTATGTTTGATATGTTCCATTCCTACCAAGATGGAGGTGAGGTTAATGGCAGGTGATTTTGCAGGATTGGGGTGTTTTTTTCTGTGTCCTTTGTTTTATTTTTATAGGTGTTTGATTGTAAGATAGTGATTTTTTTTCCTGCTGTCTCCTTTGTTTTGTGTTTTATGTTTTTTGCAAGTGTTCAAAGAGGAGGTGATATTTCTATTGTCTTCTGTGATCCGTAAATATCCATGGCTATCCCAAGATAGGAAATAATGCTACCTATGAAGAATGGAAAAAACACTATACCATGTTGATACTATGGTAGAAAAACCCACAACGCACAAACTAGATTTATTGAAGAAAGTGAGACAACAGTTTCTGAATCGTCCTCGATGGAATCGAACTCCCCTCTTCTTCCTCCTTCACTCCCCTCCTCCTTAACTCCCTTCTTCCCCCTTCTTAACTTCCTCCTCCTTCTCTTCTTCTCCTTATCTCTCTCCTCCTCCTCTTCCTCCTTTACTCCTCCTCCTCCTCTTTCCTCCTCATCACCCTCCTCTTCTTCCTCCTTAACTCCCCTCCTCCTCTTCCTCCTTAACTCCCTCCTCCTCCATTACTTCTCTCCTCCTCCTCCTCCTTCTCTTCCTTCTCTTCCTCATCAACTCCCATCCTCTTCTCCTCCTGCTTCCTCCTTAACTCACCTCCTCCTCCTCTGCTTCCTCCTTAACTCACTCTCTCCTCCTCTCTACCCCCTTAACTCACCTCCTCCTCCTCCTCTACTTCCTCCTTAACTCACCTCCTCCTCCTCATTAACTTCCCTCCACCTCCACCTCCACCTCCACCTCCACCTCCTTAACGCCTCTCTCCCTCCCCTCAGTCCCCTTCGCCATCGAGGAGAGCTCAGGCATCGTCTCGGTCGTGGCTCCCGTCCAGCAGTTCTCGAGGACCAACTACGAGTTTGAGGCGGTGGTGACGGACGGGCGGACCTCCCTCGTCACCAACGTCACCATCCACGTCGCCCCCAACAGGAGACCCTCCACCAGGCGCAGCACCGTCGTCAACTTCTCCGTGCAGGTGAGGGGGCTTGGGACGGGTGCTGCGGTGTTTTGTTTTTTGTTTGTATTTTTTTTTTTTTTTTTTTTTTGGGGGGGGGGTGTTTTGTATGTTAGTTTTTTTCTTAGTTCTTTTGTTTTGATTTTGTTTATATGTTAACCTTTTGTTTACGTTTGTGTGTTAGTTTTTTGTTTTGATTTTGTTTTTGTTAGTTTTTTTTTTTGGGGGGGGGATGTAAAATATCGAAGGAAAGAAAGGATAGGAAATACATATAATTAACATAAAACGTAGACCTTTCCTCCATCCAAAACTCTCTTTGCAGGAGAACTGCCAAACCTGTGACTTCGTTGACCGCCCTGAGGGACGTCGGGGCTAGGATCGCCTCGGACCCGCAGTTCGAGTTGGTGAGTTTGAATCGTTTTTTTTTTTCTGAAATGATCTATAGGCGGAGATAGATGTAGGTAGAGTGAGGGAGGGGGAGAGTGAGGGGTGAGCGAGGGGTGGTTGAGGGTGAGGAAGAATGAGGGTGAGGGAGAGAGGGAGAGAGAAAGAGAAATAGAGAGAGAAACAAAGAGACAGAGTAGTATGAATGATTTTTTTTCTGGAAATTAAAAAAAAGAAAAATACAAACACACCCGAAGAGTATTCACCCTCCCCTCCTTCGCTCTCGAACCTACTTCCCAACATCGACTCATTTTATCTTTTATCTGCAGGTGAGTCCAGAAGCCAGGAAGTACTTCGCCCTCGGCCTGGACGCCTCCCTGTACACCGTCGCGCCCTTGGACTACGAGGCTTCCCCCAACCACACGCTGGTCATCGTCAGCGGGAGGACCTCGGATATCTATTATGTAAACGTGCAGGTCAGTGGTTTACGCTTTAGATAGATTTGGGTCTTTTTCTTATTTTTTATAATTATGATCTTCCCTCAGTGTTATTTGTTATTTGTTATTCTTCTTATTTTTTTTATTATCCGATTTTCTTGTTCTTTTTCTTTTCTTTTTTGTGTGTGATATATCTCCGGAGAAAAAACGGGGAGACAATGGAGCTTATTAAGGATCTTTATGGAAAATAATGGTGGAAGCTAAATATATGTCTGTTTTCGATATGATTTCAGATGAAATGGAAGATAAGTGAATATTGTTTTTGTTTTTTTCTATTTATTTACGGTTTCCTGACTTCCAGGTTGAGGATCTGAACGACAACCCGCCCCAGCTGAATGCGGTGGCGTACGAGGGCACCATCAGGGAAAACGCTTTGCCGGGCACTACCATAAGAGTTCTTCCTGCGATACAGGTGATTAGAACTCTGGCACTCGTTTGGAGTGATTAGTATAACTCTATTGGATTTATTTTTGGTGTTTTTTACGGTAGGATGTATGCTAACCAGAAATGAATGTTTGTGATTGGAAACTCTATGGCCCAAGGGAAAATTCTACCGTGTATAATTGTAGCGCGCCCCTCCCGCAGGTGAGCGACAAGGATCAGTACCCCGGCGCCACCTACTTCCTCCAGCTGTTCGGCGACGCGGCTCACCTGTTCGACATCGACTCCTCGAGCGGCCAGGTGACCTTCGTCGGCGACGACCTGGACCGCGAGAGGGTCGACTCGTACGTGCTGCGCGTGGAGGCGCGCGACGACGGCAACCTCACGTCGACGGCCAACCTCACCATCAACATCGAGGACGTGAACGACAACCCGCCGCGATTTGTGCAGCGCGAGCCGCTCTTCTCGGCGCGGGAGGACGACCTGGACGAGAACTCCTCGAGGAAGCTCCCCGACACGTCCAACCTCGAGTACCTGGCGGACCTCGAGCGCTCCCTCGTCAAGATCCCCGAGTCGCTGCCCATCGGGAGCCGCGTGACGGAGGTTACGGCCACAGACGACGACGAGAAGCTGTACGCCGACGTCCGCTACAAGATCGACGCGCAGACCTCCTTCAGCTTCGCCGGCGGGGCAAACACGACGCCCATTCTGGAGGAGGCGTCGACCTTTTCCATCGAGAGCAAGACTGGCGTGGTCGTGGTGGCGGGGCCTCTGGAGCCCGACCACTTCTACCTCCTGAACATCTCAGCGACGGACGGCGGTGGCCTGGCGTCGCACACGACGGTCTCCGTCGCGGTGTTCGACGTGAACGACCACACGCCGCGGTTCGAGCGCCCCGTCTACAACTTCGAGGTGGTGGAGGGCGAGTACCTGGTGGGGGAGGTGGGCAAGGTGGTGGCTTTCGACCAGGATTTCGGTAACAACGCCAAGGTACACTACCAGATCATCTTCTACAAAAACTCGAGCGAGGACCAGGTGTTCCCCTTCAGGATCGTGGAGACCTCGGGCACCATCCTGGCCACGGGCACCGTTGACCGCGAGGAGCGCGAGGTGTACGAGTTTTCCGTCGTGGCCACGGACATGGGCACGCCGCAGCTGTCCTCGTCCGTCCTCGTTCACATCGAAATCATGGACGTCAACGACCACCGGCCGGTCTTCTACGACTACAAGGACGCGATTTACTCCGGGGAGGCCAGCAACGACGGCCAGCTGGACTCAAGCAATGCCACCTTCACGCCGGTGTACACGGCCGCCCTCTCGGAGCACGCCCCTCGCGGCACCGTCGTGGCCAGGGTGTTCGCGAACGACTCCGACTCCGGCACTTCGGGGAACGGCCTTATCCTGTACAAGCTGGAGGGCGGCGAGGACAAGTTCTCCATCGACTCGAACAACGGCAGCGTGTACACCGTGGGCGCGCTGGACTACGAGCGCGCCCCGACCCACAACCTGACGGTGGTGGCGCAGGACCTGGGCACCCCGCCGCTCTCCGCCTCCGCCCTGCTGGTCGTCACGGTCGTCGACGAGGAGGAGGAGCTCACCACAAGACTCTTCGACCGGGAGGAGTACGAGGTGAGGCAGTCATTTCTTTCTCTCTTTTTGTTTACAAAGTCTGTGTGGCCACAGCGAGTAGAGGTGCTTACATCATTCAGACCGTCGAGAGATAGATATGACCTTAATCATTATATTTAGTTAAGACAGCGTTTGTATCAACCACTTGCTTATAGTAAACCCATTTTACTACTAAACACTTCATAGAACTTTATCAACTCGACCCTCTTTCCACCAGGTTCGCGTGATGGAGAACAACGACACCCCTCTGCGGCTTCTGGATCTGAACGTGAGCGAGGCGTTCTCCGGGCAGCAGCTGCACTACCAGCTGGTCGACCCGGGTATGTCGGGCACTGTGGCGGTCGACTCGTACTCGGGCGAAGTCTACCTCATCGCCAGCCTCGATCGGGAGACCAGGAGTAGATTTAGGTTCAAGGTAAGGAGGCCCGTTATGTCCTACCCTGGTGTTTTTATCTTTTATTGTGTGTGCTGCAGTACAAGTTGAATTTACAGTGTAGCCATCAGTGTTCACGCTGCTTCTCGAAATTTTGGGGTGAATGAAGTTTGACGTAATTATTTATAGTATTGGCCGACACAAATTACATTTACGTGAGATTTATTCCATGCGTTGATACTCTTATGCCATGTACAACAGTTCCTATTTTTTATATATATTCCTGCAGACAGTTTCTCCACAAACGTATATCATTGTTCGCGTTTATTAAAGAAAACTAATCCACACAAAGGTACGAGCAACCCAGCCGGAACGAGGCCGCGCCCTGGAGTACCTGAACGAGCAGTCACAAAACACGAGACGCTTCGAGGAAACGACAGATGATCTGACTTCCCCTGCTACAGCTGACACCGAAGTCCCCGTCGTCGTTGCCTTGGAGACACTCCCTCACGACGACGAAGGTGAGATAAGCGTCCCTGCCGAGGTGGTCTCCTTGGGGACTTACAGGAGGCCCGTAAGGAGGCAGAGGACGGCGCCGCCCTTGGGGGAGCCTACCGTCGGGCCACAGCCTTTGCTTGCACAGGGTGAGTGCATGGAAGAGGTGGCCGGTGTTGGATGGTGATACTCCTGGTGTAGTATTCCAATAGAGAAGGAAATACTTGAACATACTCACTCACCCACCCACCACTCACTCACTAACTCTCACACTCACATTCGCGCTCACATATACATTTTGGAAGACAGCCAGTTAAACAGATAGAGAATCAGACAGACAAAATATTTAAGTCACATTTTAACACCCTTTCCCTTCTCTCCCCAGCGAGCCTATTGGTGGGCGGTGGGCGCGACCTGGACCTAGGAATGGACGAGGTGTGGGTGGCGGTGGAGGTGGAGGACCAGAACGACAACAGCCCCAGCATCCTTCCCCAGGGGCGGCCCGTCGTGGCGGCTGTCCCTGCCACGGCTGCGTACGGGCATTTCGTCACTAGGATCATGGTAATTGATGTGGAGAGGTGTTTGTGTGTGTGTGTGTGTCGTTATCTATATGTGATTCTATGCGGTCACACGTGCCTATTGTATTAAAATAACGCCTATTCTCAGACGAAAAATGATATATTCTTTTAAGACCTGAAATAGCTCATTATCCCACATTACCACGACTCCCTCAAACCAATGCGATTCCCACAGGCTAGCGACCCAGACCAGGGCATCAACGGAGAATTGCGCTACGAGATCCTACCCGGCGAAGGGGCACAAGACGCCAGCGCCAGGTTCGCCGTCGACCCCGTGTCAGGCCAGGTCAGTTACAGACGATCCCGTACCATAATAAAATGGAGAGTGTATTGCGTGCGATTTTGGATTTGATTTTGTCTATGCCAAACGATATAGTGTTTTTTTATGATGAAATGGAGGGTTTCTTGTGTTTTTTTATTGGTTCATACGTATTCCAGGGATATAATGCACTCATATTAAAATTGAGGAAGTACTCACTTACACCTATCTATCCCATTATTCCAAACGACATAGTATACCATAAAGGAAGGTAATATCGCATATAATCCCCTACTTATCTTAAATCTAATTGCAGGTGGTAGTAATCGGTGCCTTAGAGGACGAATCGGGCAAGATGTTTGGCTTCGACGTCCGTGTGAGCGATCAGGGCGGAGCTCCTTCTGCCCGCTCGGCCATCGCGAACGTTTTCGTGAGTGGATTTCGATCTGGGGTTTTGTTCAGGCGATGCGGGCTATTTCTATGTTCATTTGATTTTGTTGTTGTTACTGTTCAGGCCATTCCTTAGATTAATTTAGAATTGTTCAGTCGAGTTTACTATTAAAGTGACAGGAATCGATGCATACTTAGACATCCCAAAAAGAATCCATATTTTGGTACTCTTTATACTTAATCAGTCGGACATTATAGCCATATTTGTTACATAATATTCCTCCAAATATTACAACCTTTCTTCCATCTTTCTACATCCAGGTGCACGTTTTGGGCGCAGGAGGTCACCTGGTGTTGGAGGTGGCAGCTAAACCCCGAGAAGTTGAACCCCATCTCTACCACATCCAAGGGTAAGTGTCCTGTCCACTCCGCTATCGTGGTACTAAGATCACGATATTTTTGGTACTTAAATCACAAAATTATTAAAGATTGCAATCACAACATTCTTAGACTTACATCACAACATTTTTAAGACTTCCTAGAATTCAGAACTGAGTAAAATCTAAAACTCCCGAGTGACTTGAGCGACAAAATCGCAGTATTTAGAATTTGTTTGTACCCTTTTCAATGTTAACTTTTTTTTCTTTCTTTCTTTCTTGACCAATATTCATTATGAACACTCGATCTCCACAGGATGCTAACCAACGTGTCTGGGTTGGATGTTCGCGTGCAGAGAATAGCTCCCCATGTTGACGGTGACGCGGCCCTCACTACGGCGTTAGTATAGTGTTTTGGTTATTTGATAGTGGAGAGAGAGAGAGAGAGAGAGAGAGAGAGAGTGAGTGAGAGTGAGTGAGTGAGTGAGTGAGTGAGTGAGTGAGTGTGAGTGAGAGTGAGTGAGTGAGTGAGTGAGTGAGTGAGTGAGTGAGTGAGTGAGTGAGAGTGAGTGAGTGAGAGAGAGAGAGAGAGAGAGAGAGAGAGAGAGAGAGAGGAGAAGAGAGAGAGAGAGAGAGAGAGAGAGAGAGAGAGAGAGAGTGAATGAGAGTGAGATGTGTCCATGTGTTTGTGTTGTTATTTGTGTCTGTATCTGTTCTTGCTTGTACGAAACAAAGCATATTCATACAAATAACCTCTCCCCCACAGGACAGACATGTACGTTTATGCCGTTGACCCGACCACCCAGTCCGTGGTCGACGCCAGCCACCTCCGCCAAGCCCTAAGGGGGAGGAAGAGTGAGCTGAAGTCCCTCCTTCCCGGTGGCGTCCACTTCAGGGGCATGAGGGTGCCTCTTCCCTCTCGCCAGGGACATGTGTTACAGGTGAGGAGATCAGGATTTTGCATATATACATTGTGATTGATAAGTGTATGTACATATATGTATTGTGAATGATTAGTGTATATACATATACATTGTGATTGATAAGTGTATGTACATATATGTATTGTGAATGATTAGTGTATATACATATACATTGTAGTTTTTTAGAGTATATATATATATATTCATTGTTATCGTTTAGCGTATATACGTATATACTTTGTGATTGTAGTTTCTAGTCTTTTTTAATTCTTAACTTATCGACTGAGATCTTAAAATGTGAATTTCTTTTTGTATATGAACGGGAAATAGAATTATAATGTCATGTTTTACAATATGTCTCGTTTCGAGGTTCAGCATTTGAGGAATATTGTATGTTTTTTTTCTTTTTAGACTGCGGAATTGGCGATATTGATTGGCGCCGTGGTGGTGTTCCTGGTGACAGTCACGACTATTGTGTGTCTCTGTTACAAGCAAAGAAAGAGGTAAATAAAAGATATTTGCAATGCCATATCGAATGGGACGTTGTTTATGTTTGCTGACGTACTGGAAATAATATATTCTTTCCCACATGTTTAGTTAAAATCTTAGCCTAAGTAGGTCTACACTAAATTCGCATACAGACACACACGCATCTTACAAACACCCCCTCCTAAACCGTACATTTCGAATCGTTCTTCCTTTCCTCCAGCCGCCGCAAGCCCATGCCGATGCCGCCCATGATGACCGCGGCAGGGATACCTGTGATGCCCCTAGCCTACCCCGGCCCCTTCGCCGCCCCTTACACCCACATGAGCGACCACAGCAGCTCGGAATCCACAGAGGCCCAAGAGTTACCCCACGACCATCCACACTATCCTCATGACCTCGTTCACTATCCGCCTGACCCGGCTAGCTACCCGGTTGACCCTGCCGTCACTACCCACTTCCCTCAGGACCCCAACCACTACCCACGCCCGCCGCCCAGACGTCGCTCCTGCGCCCACAGCTTCCAGGCAGATCGAGAGGTGAGGGCAGGTGGAGTGGGTTTAGTATTCAGTTTGACATTTTTGTTGTTCTTTTATCTTGATTTATTTCCTGCGAATGTCTGTTGTTGGTCACTGCAATGATTTTAAATATTAGTTGATTAATTATGTAGGAATAGAGAAATGAAAGAGGGTGTTATACTAAATTGTTGTGATATGTGATAATTAGATACATTTAAGCTATATAGTATGGCATGGTTCTGAATAGAATTGCAAATATTGGCCTAAGGAGTAAATATTGGACATGAACAATAGTATAATTGTCCAACCGTGTTTTCCAGCTCTTGCACCCTTGTAGCAGCGGCGAGAGAGTGTCATCCCACACCGACGAGGACGAAGGTAGCGGCCCAGTGTGTCTCCGCCACGCCCCCTCACGGAAGCGCCGCCGAGGCACCCAGCAGGGAGCAGACGGCAGAGGCAGCGGGCCGAGCCACAAGAGCAGGAGCTCCTCGAGGGCAGGTCGAAGAGCGCTGGGGGAAGAGCCCTCGAGTTCGGACTTCGATGAGAGGGACCACGCGCCTCCCCTGGTCACCATCCCCAGGCCTCAACCGTGCTGCATGGAGGACAGGTAATGTTAGTCTTTGCCCTTTTCTCTGGGAGGACGTGCATGAGGTGGCGAAAAGGATTCCTCATATGTCCATCATTTGTGAAATATCAAAGATTCCTTTCACCTCTATTGTATACTCCATGGTCTCTAAAACTATATATATCATTCAGTATACATTTAGTCAATAAGCTTTCCTTGCACCTAACAGACAGAGAAACCCAAACAACCCACGAACATTACCGACCGTCGACTGCACGCTCGAGAACCCCGGCAGAGCCCACTCCCCCGACAGCCTGGAACGCCCCTCGCACTGCCGGACCGCCGCCCACACCCACACCATCCCCCGCACGCACCTCAAGAGGGAGAGGGGCTCAGATCACGCGGGGGGGAGGAACGGACGCTCTGATCTCCACCCGAGTGACGTTACAGAGCTCTGATAATCTCCAAGGCTGGGGTCTGTGGTGGAGGTCTTTTCAGGAGCATGGAAAATGTTTTGTGATTGGGTGATGTTTAGATTTTGGAGAGATTTTGTTTTCGCCGTAGTTCTGAAACATCTCTGAAACCAAATTTCTAGATGAATGTATGGATTTTTATTAATTGGTGTTATTAATATATACTGTATATATGTGGTAGATGAACATTATGATAAGGCAAATTGCTCAGATTAAAATTGGACATTTACGTTTTCAGTAAATAAAAAATGGACAAAGTACTGAAGTAAAGAAAAATGTTCACTTAATGACTATAAACCCATTCAGTGACAGGTTTTTCTGATGTATATATATATTTTTTACTTCCACTGTAATATCTTCATCCCAGTGAGACCATCTGAAGATCCAATAGATTGTAGACATTTTCTTGTCAGTTTAGCTATGACACATAAAAAGTTGTTTAAAGTGATTACCTAATATCACAAACATTATGATACAACGTTATGAATTTTATGATGTTTTAAAAGCCCCCTGTATTTGTAAATACATTACTACTTTATATAATTAGAAGTATTGTTCATTTGATAAAATATTTCATGATTCAGTAGTCAACAAAGTTTATACAACATTAAACTGAATGTGAAGCTATATAGATAAGTTGATATTATTATTTAAAACTCATTTTTACATCTGGTTCACAAATAAAGTCTATATTATAATTTCTGAATAATAGTCATGAACAAGAATGATACTGTCACCATTCAACTGCAAGTCAAACACTGATGTAATGTCATCACAACACAAATCGATTTTCTCACATTTTTTAAAGCTATTCCAAGAAAGCTATATTCTTTTTCTGAAATAACAGCTTATTGAGAATTAGGGATGGTGATCATAATTTATTTGAACCATACTTTATTTTTCTCATTTATAATTGGATGGTGGTGTTTTACTCAAGCTTTCTTCCTTAATACTTGGCCAAATATTTGTATATTGTAGATAGTAGGTATGTTTGATACAATGGAGAGGAGATATGGAATAGCTTTGGTGATACAAATGAGGCTATCAGTTTGATGCTATGAGGGTTTTTTTCAGGTGGACCCAAAAGATAATACTTTATTTTCTGGAATGATTTCCTGTCTTCTTGATTAAATGAAAGAGAACTCAGTAGGTCACAAATTAGCTACGAATATATTCTTGTAAGAAACTATTTTGATACAAGTGAGTTGTCTTTTGTAAAAGTATTTGTATAATTTTCTTAAGAATCTAATCTGTGGTTTAGTCTAACTGCATACTGGGACATTACAGGTTATCATGGTGAATATTATGCTTTATAGATATTTTAAAATGCCAAGTGTGCCATGAACTATGTAGAGGCATAGATGAATCACACATGAATAACATGCATACTTGGATCTATAGTGTTCCATGGCAGTGTATGTAATGTTTGTGCTTGATTGAGTGCTTGCATCTTGGGTTATGGGTCAGCTGGGATTATTATGTTTTTGATCACCTTTTGAATACGTAATTATAGAGGTGAAAATTTGCTCTAATGCACTTAAGTGAATTGTGTGTATGTGTTATACATAAATAAATATGTATGGCTGTGTTTTGCCTGTGTACTCAAGGCCTCTCCTTAAAAGATGAATATACCATTGTTATAATGTACAGTATTTTGTAGTTAGAGCTCAGAAATGTTTAAACAGGCAACTGAAGATATATATATATATATATATATATATATATATATATATATATATATATATATATATATATATATATATATATATATATATGTATGTTAAGTTCCACAAGTTGATGGTATAAAACAAATGCTTTGTTTGAATCATCTTTTGGTACTCTTGTTGGTGAACTCGTGGTATATAAATACTCCTGTAGTATTATTGTACTATGTTCATTATGTTTCATAGGGAGTAACACATACAACTAATGTGACCAAAGAATATTCATTATATTACTATTATTTTTCATAAGATTCTGCAGAGCAATGAGTCTTCTGTAAAGTCTTTATATTCTTCTTCAACACTATTATTGTAGTGCGATAGAAAATTTTGCAGGCAGGCAGTGTTGGTATATCAGTCTCACTATTTAATATTTCATATAGGAAGGAGTGAGAATAAGTAAAAAGATATATAGTTGCCATGCTTTGATTTGTAACTTCATGTGAATGTCATGGAATTTTGATGAAGATATAAATCAAAATGTGTCAATAGCTTGTCTTTGTGAACTCATTCTCACATACCTTTTCATTTATCACATTTACCATTTAATATATATATTTTTTTTCTTTCTTTCTTTCCTTCATTTTTTCTTTTTCTTTTTCATTTGAAGTTTTTGTATATTGGAATATAACATGTTCTATACATTGCCTGTATTTGTATATCTCAGACAAAGAATAAAACAACGAGGATATTGTGGAGTTTGGCAGTCAGCCTTCCCTTGTTAAACATGTACTAAGGATAGTTTTGTAAGCTCACATACAACGATTTTGTACCTGTACATACTTTTAATATAAATATTTGAATATGATTGAGTTTCATTTGAAAATGTCCTCATTCCTGCAAGCATAAACTATTTCCTGTATTATTCCATAGAAGAATACACAGGCTTACTAATGGCAAGAAATTCAAGTAGTTATTGTTTTGGCTTGTCTTCCTATCATGCATTTATATCACTATAATGTACCAAGTTCTCAATATTGTTAATAGTGACATGGCAACACTTTTCACCATCACTGTATTCATATTCACAAAATAACTAAATTAACCAACAGTACTTCAGCCATCATTTTACAATTTCATGACTAAAATCTAATATACTACACATATATAAAGAAACATATTGTATTGTTTTGTTTTTTCTTTTCTTTTCTATTCGTTTTGTTTTAATTCAGTTAAGCCTCTAAGATAAATATGCTACATCTTTAACATTTCTCTTATGAATAAACTATAAGAATTAAAAAGAAAGAAAAGATAAAGAATATGTTTATTTCATAAAACATGGCATTAACATATATTAAGTCACAGTAAATAATAAAAATAATAATAAAGAATAAAAATATGAACAGAAACAAGCAACACATTACTTCAAGTTAATATGTCACTTGCATCTATCATATGGCTGTCTGTAAACAATGCTAAAAACCACATTTCAGTAATGAAATCCTAATGACATTAGAAAATAATGCTTCATAATTGAAAATACACGTCTTCTGTGATAAAGTAAGAAGAAAAAAGTCCTATCTTCTACCTCTATATCTATCTCTGTCCGGACTTCTGTTGTGGCTTCCGTACCTGCCATCCCTATTGCCCCCTCTTCCCCGGTCCTCCCCCTGCCTGTAGCCGCCCCTCCCATCCTGCCTGTATTCCCTCTCTCTTCTCTCCCTATCATCCCTCTCCATTCTGTGTCTGTTATATTCCCTGTCTCGGTTGTCCCTGCTATCCCTCACGTCTCTATATCTTTCTTGGCCCCTGTCTCTCTCCCGGTATCTGTCTCTGTCAACATCTTGTCTGACATGTTCGTACTTTTCGTAGCCTGGGTCTCTCTTCTCCTCCTTCACTACATAGGTCCCATTGCCGTATTCCTCCCTCCTTGCCCTGTTCTTCTTCCTCTCTCTTTCGGAGTCTCCACTGTTGCTCTCGGATTCTGATTCGTCTCTGCTTCTCTTCTTTTTCTTCTTCTTTCTCTTTTTCTTGTAGCTGTCGTCGTCACTGTCACTATCCGAGGATGACGAACTGTCTGACTCTGACTCTGATGATGAGGATGAAGATGATCGCCTCTTTTTCTTTTTCTTTTTCTTGTCTTTTTTCTTCTTCTTCTCCTTTTTGACCTTCTTATCATTTTTTTCTTTCTTAATTTGTTCTGTAAAACAAAAAAGTAATTAAGCACAGTCTTTTTCAAATTGTGAAGATAAAATTTTAACCAACTTTTCAGCAATCATTAAAACCCAACAAAAATATGATTAGTAATGATTATGAATGTCTGAGAATAAATAAATACAAACTCTAATGGAAAATGAAGGTCACCCCCCCCACACACACACACACAAAAAAAAAATGCTCATAAAAAAGTCAATCAGTTGTAAAATAGGATCCACTTGGAACATTTACATTTACAATACCTCTAATTACCATCTCCTTTCATTTCACTTTCAATTATGAAACTTCCTCATCCCCACCTAACCAAAGCCACTCACCTGGAGGTATCACCATTAGTTCCTCTTCTTTCTCCTGCTCTTCTACAGGAATGAGTTTTGGGGCACAGCCTTCCATCAGTAACTTCTGCTGCTCCTCAGACATGTCCTCCCTCATCTTTGGCACCTTGTATTCCTCCACGTGGTCGACCCTGATTATGCGGCTCGCTAGCTGCAGTTATAATGAGGAAAAGGAGTATGAGTGGGAGAAATTTATTTTATCTTTTATTTATTTATCTCTTTTTTTTTAAAGGACCTTTACTATAGGTGAAAGTAATGGCAGTGATGATCTATGCACAGGGGAAGGGGGTTCAGACCTTTAATTTGGAAGGGAAGTAGGTAAATTTCTTCACATATTTGCCAAATATGGGAAGAGAATAGCTCTACAGGTTGCAGCATCTCACACATCCCCTTTGGTATCCTGGTATGCCACTAGCTTCAAACTAATATAAATCATACAAATAATATCTACGTATTTTACCTTTCTAAATATACTTACCTTTATGCCATTTAAATTATCAACAGCCAGAATGGTTGAACGCTGATCTTCATAGCATAAAAATGCAAAGCCCTTACTCTTTCCAGTCTTTTTGTCTCGTACCAAATTAATACTCACAATCTGGAGAAAAACATACAAATGTAATAACCAGTAGATATACTAAGATAAATGATGATGACTAGCTGACTGTAACAATTATTACACTGTGATCTATGTCAAATTTTGAGAAAATTACCATACTCTAAAGATATAATAATTACTTTCAACAATAAAACTTGCTTCATGATACCTAATCAAATTTTAAAAATAACAATATCTTTTTCTCTCCCTTCTCCCTGTATAGTACTTGAAAAAAAAAAGACCTCACCTCTCCATATTGCGAGAAGACACAGATTATATCTCCTTCGGTGAGTTCATAGTTAAGCCCTCCAAGGAATACCCAAGCGCTGTCTCGATACTGCTGATGCCACGACTGCTTGATGTTGACACCCAGTTCTAGCTCTCGCTGGCTCAATTTCTGGATGTTTTTCACATTCCTAAAATGCAAATGAAAATAGTTTAACATTTAATTACATGTTTCTGGATTCAATATATCTTAAAATGTATCTTTGTTGTCTAGTTATCTGGTAATAGGAACGGCTACACTGACAGTGATCAGCTGCTACTAACAGTGTATCACAGGCTATTTCTAAATTTTCTGTTACTGATAATAAAACTATTCAATGTCTGCCAGCAACATATGATTCACAAAGCAACCGTCCAGTCTGGAATCAAGCCTTTGAAAATTTTGTACACTGGCGTATATTTTCCGTCCTTAACGTCACTGGCGTATTTTGGAGGAAAGATATTCAGTATTTGAACAATTAGTTTGGCGTATATCAAATTTGGTCTTGGCACACATCTCTGGTGGATAGGAATCACCAATTCTAGTATGGACAACAGTACATACTGGTTGTTCATGTGTTAATATGACAGATGCTGCCATCCACCAAGACGATATTTATGGTATTTTATCAACTACAAAATAACATGGGATATATAGATCTTATGCAAACCATAGTTTACCTCATTATTTCATCTTATTTCTTTCTGTTTAGGTTATATTTGCTAGAAGATATGAAATAACCGACTTCATCCAAAAATAATGTACTTGACTTCAACCACAAAGAGAAACAAATATGACAGCCACATACATCTTTCTAATTGTACATAAAATAGACATAACAATCATATAACTTAAAATATAATCAACATATTTGAAATAGTGTCTTGTCTTCCCCAGTCTTCTCAGTTCCCACAAATCCTTCCCAATCATTCATTAAATCACTTACGTCAAAGGATTCATCTTCACTTGCTCCTCGAAAACTCCCTCACTCCATGAAATCACCAAAAATCAGCCAGAATCCGGAATTTCCTTCATAAAAAAATACAAAAATATACGTTTTCGAAGCCAAACAACACGGCGTTTGATGTGGTCGCTTACACTAGCAAACTCGAGACTTGTGGATGGAAGATTTTTATTTTTATCATTTCTTACACTTTGTGGTTTGTTTGATAAGTTTTTTCCCTTTGTATTAAGTACGATCGAATAGTTTGATTATAGTTTTTTAAAATGTGTATGTATTGATATGTGTGATATTGGTGTTATAGTTGTTGAATACATTAACAATGGAAAAGGAAACCATTTGACGATATTTCTTAGTATAAAATGGTTCATTCAATCTATTGGTGCAATGTATCAAAATAAGATACTTTTGGAATAAGAAGATATAGCTTATATGTCAATTTCATTGAAATCAAATTTGGATATAATTATGAACGTAATGTAACTACAGCTAAACTATTTTGTCCAATTATTTCAACTATTTGGATTATGATCTTTTGATAATATGAACTTAAAACAACAAGAAAGGTTGCGTATTTATATAAATTCCATGAAAACTGAAATATTTCTGGGCATGAAAGTCATCGTTAGCGAATATTTTCCGGGTTATGTAAATGTGTGGAGAATTACACGTCTTGTCAAATAACTATCAAAGTTTTAGATAATAGTAACAGATAACTCACAATTACGCAGCTATTGTAAAATATGGGCGCAATAAGTATAATTTAAGTGAATCATGAATAAATATATCCAAGTTGCAACCTGGAAGTAGACTGCCCGAAACTTCAAGGCCCAAGTCTGGAAGAAGAAAAGGTCGGAAAAATCCTTCAAAATGCTGATCAAAGTGAAGGTAATTATCGTCCTTGGAGACATGAATTTAAAAACACCTTATTATATTCCAGAGCCATGATTTAGTAGCGAAATATTGATTGATAATAAGCGTGTAAAGACAAGAGAAGAGGCGAGTGTCTTACCCGGTTCGGGAAGTTGACAGAATGTTTTGATTTTTTCTTTCATTAAACTACAATATTATTTTAATGTTGTGAGTTATATGGCAATTGTTAATGAAAGCTGCGGCAGTTGTTCTTCTTGCCCCACTTCTATTGTCTTCTATGATGTGTATTTATTTCATAATGATTGTGGAAATAAAATGCATTATCTGCTCTCGGCTTGTATCGAATAATAATAATGTAAAGGGTTTTTTTGCACAATGTTTTCCTTTCATGTGATTTACAGGCTTTCCAGTTGTGTAGTTAGAGTTTTTTTGGGAAATGCAAATTTTTTGTTCAGAAAATAAAGCAAGTTTATGTTTTTAGCAATGTGAAGTTCATCACAATTTTATAATTAATCCATTGAGCCAGAATGATGATTTTGTGCTGAACCATATCAAGCAGTGTTGTTTCGTGTGCACAGAGGCCTACATACTTTTACTTATAGCATGTTCTCGCAAGATAGAGTTTCTTGAACAGCAAAACACAAAGAAGGTTGCTAGGGGGCCATCTGCTGAATTTTCAATAAATATTTTCTAAAATACTCGAAAATTTTAAAAAATCTCCTGTGGTATAGTAGGTTTCGGGAATCCCGTGACTAAATATTTCTGTTAAATACGTAAAGTTAAAGGAGTTATGACTAATTCTATGATCCCCCCCTCCCCGCACTCCCTCTCCGATCGCTGCTGTATCATGTTCGTGCAGATATACGCGACTAAGTTGATTTTTCGCAAATTTTTAAAACTTCTTTTGGTATTCACTTGTAAGAGCAGGCAACTCTGCTTAATGTATCAGTGGGAAGCCACAACCAGGAGACAGTGCTGGCAGTCACCACCAGAGAGTCAGAGAGAGGTTGCGCATCGCCTGCCTCCTCAACACCATCACATAGACGTACCCCTGATGCGCCCTCATGACTCAGTAAGAGGACACAAACTAACGATAGTTATGTTTGGAATTGATAAGCCTTTTGATGAGAAATACAGCTTACAATCACCCCCCATAACAACTCGGATAATTCTAATGCCTTTTTATCATTTGGAAGCTGAATAAATTTGCAATTTTTTTCAATGAAGCGATTTTCATTTCAGGTGATCGAAATCCATATGTTACATGGATTCAGTGGATTCCTCTCACTCTCTGCTTTCCCAATATATAGAAATTGTGTTGCAGAAAAAAACCCAAACCCCCACATTCTTAGCTCCAAGACAGCACAAAAGGTACCAGGGAAATTGCGAGGCAAAATATGAATAATATGCACAGAATCAGTTATTATTATCTAAAGCAGGGGCTGTGCCCCCTATGACCCCCCACCCCCCTTGGGGGCTGCCGACCCCAACCCCTACCCAGAAAAACAAAGAGTCCTCCATGTATTCATGGCAGGTGAGAGTATCAAACAGATTCGCCATTGGGTGGTCCCACATGTCAGTCGTATATTCTCTCCTGCCATGAATACATGGAGGATTCTTTGTTTTCCTGGGTGGAAGCTGGGGGCATTAACCTTCTATGGGGGAGTGCAGGGGGCACATCCTCCTATGTTAGACAATAGGCTATAATAACTAATTCTGTGTTTATTATTCGTATTTTACCACACACTTTTTCTGGTACCGTTCATGGTCTCCCCTGCTATTAGGGCCAAGTTTCTCTCTAATGTGGGGTGTCCACACAATAAAATCTACATAATTGTATTGTAGAGGGGAGAGAAATTCATTGATACAAAAAAAATCTGCAGTCCATTTGGCAGATCTACTCCATAAAATTACCATTATATGTTTTCTATAGTTTTGCCATTACTTTATTTATTTATTTATTTATTTATTTATGTATTTTTCATTTCTCTCTATTTTTGTTTATCCGATTCAGGATAATTTTTGCTTTTCTGTCCATTCCATTCTCCCTCTCTCTCCCTGAATGAAATGGTTTATTTTCAGGATAGGGACACACTTAGCTGGGGCAAATTGAAAATTATATTCTTATAGAGGACAAAAAATGATTAATATGTACAATATGGACACTAAGGTAGAGGAAGTTGAAGATGATATTCTTGTAGAGGACGAAAAGGTGTAGTCGTCAGTAAAAAAAATAATAATCTTTATGGTTTGGTCACACTGAGTTAGGGCAAATTGAAGATGATATTCTTGTATAGGTCTACATCAAGCAGACCTCTTGGCTTATGTTATAGCAATCACATTATAGACCCTATCATACTGGCAATTTTTTCAGTTAACTTTTGTATTTTTTTATATGAACTTTGTGTAAGCAAACCCCCTAATTCCATGCCCATTGTTGCTGGTTGGGGGGAGACTTAGAAGACAGACACTGAGGCTCAATGTTAGGGATCTCCCCTACCTTGGGCCTCAGCCCTTGGTCTTTTCTTCACATTTCCTTTTCCTTCTTTTCTCCAACCCATATGTCTATAGAAAACCTTGCACATTTTGTGGAAAACCAAGATCTTGGTGAATGGGACTTGCAGGATTAAAGTAATATCATTAGCTACTGAAATTGATTTGAAAAACAGTAATCGTAAAGTAGTAAGTAAAAAAAAAAAAAAATTCATCCTGTAATAGTAGGTAAAAAAATGGGTAATGCTGTAGTAGTTAGTAAAAAAAAAAGGTAATCCTAGAGTAGCTTTCCAGAGATGCATCCACAGTGACTCAGGCACTCATCATGGTCTCTGTGCCTTTAGCATTTTGGAAATAGACCAACAAACCTCCATCATGCATAATCTGAGAAAATGGAGCTTGCAAACTACCTGGTGATTTGCAGTTAAACAGGGAACCAATCACTATACACCAATGTGTATGGTGGAGGTTTTTTGGCCCTTGCAGAAGTACCTGTATAAGTGGCATAGTGATAATGGAACTTAGTCTCTTGAAACCATTTTCCCCACTATTGATTTGGTGAATCTGAGTAACATCCATGGGCTTTCTTTTAATTGTACTGCAATCTTACTGTGACTTGTAATTGCCAATCCACAGTAGTGGTACTATATCAAGCAAATGCTACAATCTCTGTGCCTATCAGTCCTCTGACACAGGCCAACAAACCTCTGCTATTATATTAACCCAGTGCTGACAGGTAAAAATGTTTGGCAAGTGGACGTAACAACAGGATTGTTGGCGTGCATCGGCAGTTTCCCCTGTTTGCGCCCGGCTTGATCGGTAGTTTGCAAGCGACATTTGGAACCTAAAAGCTTTTATTTTACTATAATTTATAAAAATATTATAATTTTGAAGGTCTACCTTCATTATAGGTGCCATTGCTTAATATCTTTACCATATAAATGAAGCCGCTACTATCGGAGAAAAACAAACTCTGTCCGATGAGCCAGTGGTGTGGGAATGGGCATGACAGGATGCCATCCATTTTTCGGTCCACAACAGCCATGATATGTACGTACATGCCACCCATCGGCTACGGATTAAGGCAAGATATGGCTTGCTTTTGTTCTGTATTTGACAATAACTAGCCAGGGAAGTCTACAAGATCAATTCCAAAATATGCTTGGCAGAGTGCCAAAGCCATGGGCTACAGAGTCTTTTCGGATTTTGATAGGGAAATAAATGTTTGTTGTGAGAAAACTGGTATATCTTAAACTAAATGAGTCTTTACGTCAAGACAGCTCTAATGGAAAATGATTGTAAAATAGAAGGTTTATTGAATCAAAAGAGTATAGATATAACAAGGAAATCTGAAAATTAGATTCTGAAATAGGTGACATGGTGAGTTTTCTGTCGTTTTCATATAATTTTTTTCACTATTCTAGTACTCCTATATGTTGCCAGTGAATATTCTTACCATATTCCACCCTTCAAAAAATGTATTATTTCATATTTTTATTGAAGGTTATGGTAATGGGATGTCAGTAAAATTACAGCTAGAAAATTTTAGCAGTTTTCCAAGACAGACACAGACACAAAAGAGAAAGAATGAAGGAGAGTAAGATATAAGAGACTGAGTGTTACAGACAAACAGGAGGAGGAGGAATTGGACAATAAAAAGAGAGAGACAAATAGACAAAAGCAAATATAGACACAAAGATACAGAGAGAGAGTAAGGGAGAAGAGAAGCAGAGGGAGGGAGGGTAGGAGATTGAGTTCACAGTGACTGAGCTTGAACAATGTGCTTTAATGTGAGAATGAAATAAGAGCTCTGGCAAACCTGGACAAATGTCATGGCTTGTAAACCCCGTCTTCTATAATTACAAAACCACTTTTAGTGAAAATATGAAGTGTATGTTGCTAAAGTCTATCAGATCTTTAAATGTTCATTAACGCTGTCAATATTTTACAAACTGTAGGGGTTAAAATAGTGTTATGTAATATTTAACAGTACTAGTTTTCTCACTAATTCTTTTCTTTTCTTTCAGACCCTGACTGGAAAGGAGGTTCGTATTCATGTGATACTTCAGCAAGATTCTTTGTAGTACTCATGTCTTGTTTAGATTTTTAAATGATATTCTGTAATGAAATACTACTAGCCCATAATAGTGATAAGTACAAACAGTTCTTCAATTTTCCTAGAATAATGTACTTTGAAAGCATATCACAACAGTGTATATAGTTATTGAGTTTAGAAGATGCTGCACAACTGAAATATTCTTGGAAAGGACTATAGACATGATGGTATATATATTTTTTTTATTTTCCTCTTCTAAAAGATTGAGATAGACATTGAGCCAACAGACAAGGTTGAGCGAATCAAGGAGAGAGTGGAAGAGAAGGAGGGCATCCCACCACCTCAGCAGCGACTCATTTTCTCAGGAAAGCAGATGTAAGGAGTAATGCTTATTGTGAAGTAATGCAACAGAAGGGAGTACTGGATGTTGTTTTAGGGTGATGCATAAGGACTGGTTTATTTTGTTTTTTGTTGAGATCTTTGCAGGTTCCCCCCCCCCCCCTCTTTCTTGGCTTTTCTTTTTGTTTTTCCGATAATTTTTTTTCTTTTCTTTCTATTGTCATAGTTTTTTTTTTTTTTTTTTTTTTTTTTTTTTTTTTTTTTTTTTTTTTTTGTGAGGGAAGTTCAGTAAACTAAAACAATTCCACTATGTTACAGGATTAGAGTGTAGTAATTTTGAGATGAATCCTTTTAGCACTAGTAGGAAATTATATGTTTAAGTATTTTCATCATCAAAATTCTTCCTGTCTCTACTTTCTTGTATATTATTATCTTTCAGTGATCTTTGGGGAAAATATTATAAATTGTATTAGAAATTTTTCCTTTCTTCTTCTTCTTATTATTATTATTATTTTTATTATTCAAGTGTCTATGCAGAAGATATTTGTGTGAAAGGAAATGGAAAAAACTACTTGTATTGGAAACACTCTTACCTGTTTTAGTGATATCCGTTTTTTTTTTTTTTTTTTTTTTTTTTTTTTTTTTTTTTTTCTAAACACTCTTGCCTGTTTTAGTGATGTCCATTTGAGATTTCTAAAACGAACTTTATTGAAATTTAGCTGAACTTTTCCTCCTCTTCAGGAATGACGAGAAGACGGCAGCAGACTACAAAGTCCAGGGTGGTTCTGTTCTCCATTTAGTGTTGGCTCTGCGAGGTGGATACCCCCAGTGCTAGAATGACTGTGATCATAGGAGAACCCCTTCTCGCCTTCTCGTTTGCCAGAGTAAGGAGAAGTCTGATAGCTCTGCCAGGGACAAGATCTCAGTCAGAACTGAATGTGATGGATAGAGAGTTGCGGTAGCCAGTTTGATTAGCAACTGGGAAAGCTAGCTTGCTAGTTTTCTCTCTCTCTCTCTCTCTCTCTCTCTCTCTCTCTCTCTCTCTCTCTCTCTCCTCTCTCTCTCTCTCTCTCTCTCTCTCTCTCTCTCTCTCTCTCTCTCTCTCTCTCTCTCTCTCTCTCTCTCTCTCTCTCTCTCTCTCTCTCTCTCTCTCTCTCTCTCTCTAATCCTCTCTCCTCTCTCCACCCTGCTCTCTTTTTCTTCCTCCTTTTTTACAAACTGCAGCTTAAGAAGATGTTGGATCCTAATACCATTTCCACAATGTCACTTGGGCATTACAGCTTGCTAAAGAAATTTAATCTTTCAAAATGGAAATTATTTTATATAAATACTTGCTATACACCAACAAGTAAACTCACCAGTGTTAGCAGTGAGTGTTAAAGTAATTAAACCTTAACTTTAAATGTTTTACTGTTTTTATTATATATGATTGTCAGAACCAATGGACAACTCATTTAATTCAACTTCATATTCTATGCATATTAATGAACTTAATGTCAGTGGATACATTTTATAGTTATATATACATGCTTTGTAATCATTAGATTTTGTAAGATCCAAAAGTCTCATGCTTCACAATTCAGTTTAGACCTTGGTAGGTATAATACATTTTCAACCCTATGAAACATACTCCATCGTCAGTGGTTGAGATAAGTGTTGGTCACTTTGCTTCCTTTCCCGTTTCCCTTTCCCGTCCCTTTTGCAGTGTGCTTATCTTGAGTTACTGTTGTCTGCAGTTGACAGAGAGAATGTTTGCAACCACTGTACTTGAAGATCGAAAAAAGTAAATGGATTTCAGTAATATTATTTATTCTCTCAATTACATTTCATTTAATCCCATCTGAAGAGTTGTACTCAGTGAGTTTTCAATTGATGTTCAGTGTGTATGTCTTCTAATATGTTAAGATAGTCAGGAATACAATTTTTTTCTAAAGATATTGTTTTCTTAACCTTTGATTACTATCCAAGATAGTTTCAATATTCTCAAGAAATTGGGAGCCCTAGACATGTCAATATTTTTCCCAAAGAAGTATGGTATTATAAGGCAAGCATATACTGATTGATGATATGTTCATAATGATTGTAAAAACTATTTGTGTGTTCTTGTTGATATTGATTTGGTGATACATGTAGTGTATAACCTACCGAGTATCCAGTGTTTGTGGCTTACCCACCAATCTAATAAGAAGATGGCCGGCCGTGGCCCTCTGCTCACCGGCTGTGCCCCTCTTTTATGACGGAGCACCGGCTGTGCCCCTCTTTTATGACAGAGCATGAGCCCTGATACAGCGTCACACTGGTGGGATGCCCGGCAATGTTTATTTTTTCAGGTGTCTCATATGTGGGACACCCATTGTTACTGGGTTAAAATGTAAGACAAAGTATTGACATGAGGTCATTGTTTACACTAATATTGTTGTGTTGAAGTAATGAAGTGATACCAGTAAGGAACCATACATCCTTCACTGTTAGAAATGATGGCTATAGTTTTTTACTCCTGCCACATGGTGCTGACTGCACACGTAATATCACAGGTTGGATATTAGGACATGTATGCTCAGGTCAAAAAGATCATTGCCTTTTATGATGTATATTGCAGTTATGTGCTCATGACCCACAATGTAATGTGCAGGTCTTGGTTTATGATGATATTATATTTGCTTGTAGATGTAGCAAACAGTAAATGGCAGATTGGTAGGAATTCTGCTAATTAAGAAATATTGCTTAGATTGGTAGGAATTCTGCTAATTAAGAAATATTGCTTACATTTTGTAATTTCTTTTAACTGCTAGATTAACTGAGTCAAGACATAAGCAGTTACATGGCAGCTTTTATTATAATTTCAATACATAAATGTAATTTAGAGCAAACTTTTTCTGGGTGGAGTGGTTCTGAGGTGAAATGTATTCATACCTAGTAGAAAATTGTATGATTGTCCCTTCAGTTTGAGTAGATTACATCATATAAAAAGAAATTCATACTGTTCATTTAATCCATGGTCGGATTCCATCCAGCATCTGTGTCTAAGCATTTTACACCATGGGCATATAAAACAGAAAAACTATGAAAAGTATATTGATTAATGTACAGACACTATCTTGGAAAGATGTAGATCATGGTTTAGATTTATTCTGTGAAGCCATTGGTCATGCATCAGTTCTCTTTCAACTATATTTTTTTGTGATTTTTGTTGCCCACAGATGGCTTCACAAGTGCTTAGCCACAGTCAGTAGGCCTTAGCAACTGCACATGATTTAGTCATTCCTTGAATTATGGTTGATTTATTTTCAGGTGTTATTAACCTTAACATGACTGGGCCAGAATTTTTTGTGATGTAATTATTGCACAACAGTCTGGTCTTTCTGGCAGGATTTGTTATGTGTTCAGCTGAACCACCAGCTCGCTCACTCCATAGAGCGTGCCATGATGCATATACACACTGTGTAAGGTTATATCATAATGGCTCTAGCTGTACCCATTTCTGAGGGGTTAATGTCATTGGTGTTACTTAAATACTAAGAACCTATTTTTTAATCAGATTTTCTGTAAATGATGGAAAAGGGTAAACAGGTAAGATAGGCTGGACTAATAGTTGACTCCTATGTTACTAAGAAATTGTAAGACCATGCATCAATGCAATTACCTCATTGCCTCCAGGTGGTAATGAATTAAACCTCAAGTAACAGTATTTATTTCTCAATACAGATATTATCTTACTTTTGTTTTGTTGTTTTCTTTTTGTCATCGCTTAGAGTATGACCGATTTAAGTAATGTCTCATATTTATTTGACAAAAATACATATATTTATGACAATAGGTATACAATAAATGCTGTATATATATCTCATATTTAGATACTGATCTCTCTCAAGTTATTATTCACATCAATCCTTCCTGTATTTTAAAGATTTATCTCTTGTTATAACAAATTTGAACTTCCTGTAAATAATGAGAACCAAAAGTGGGTTTAATTCGTGCTCAAAAATTTGTAACATTATCTAACTCTATGAAATTTATTTAAAGTAGATTTAGGACATATTTATTTTGTACAGTAATAGGTTGTACTAAGAAGACTATATACATTAAATTATAACTAAACTGCATATTATGTACTGTAAACTACATTGTCTATGCTATATACTACATGTTAAATAGAATATTTAACATGGAACTAATGAAACTTTCACATAGTATCTTTGTGTCATAGTTTAGGTAGTTAAATTGATTTTTAACCCTGTTACAGTGGGTAAAATTTTGTGTAAAGTTGGGCAAGGATGGGTGTATTTTAGTATACTCCACTCATTGCCTGGGAGATTGTCTGGCTCACCAAAGGATTATGCAAGACCATCCTGGTACATAGATTTCTGATGTGATGAAACATCACCCAGGATCTGTAATTATTTGCCATAAAATGCTAATGCTGAATTCAGGACTCCTCATCTAAGTTTGACAAGTTGGACAGGATGTTTTGATCATTCAGAACCCCCATTTTGGTGTCTGGGATAAGTTGTTCATCTCGTCCATCTTGCCCTCCCTTGCAATCAGGCAAGCAGGACGAGATGCGAACACCAACAGCTGCAGGCAACTATAAGATATTGGTAAGTAATTTTATGGCCATTTAGTGTTATTAAAGGGTATTTTTGTGTTTGTCAGTTGCAGGTAAGAGGACTTACAAAATAAATGCAGCAGGTAAAATAAAGACACCAGTATGATATGATAGTGAATGTTTACTTTTGGACTGGTTGCATTATGGGGATTGAAGGTCCCAGAGGCTATGTAACAAGGCGGTCTTACCCTGCTGGAGGATATCTACAAGGCTGTCATACCTTCTTGTACTGTCACTACCCCACCCCCTCTCTGTCCACCATGACTAAACAAACTGTTTTATTTAGGATAATTCAAATAATATACTAATTATGAAAAGACTGCATAGCAGGAGTGCTGATCAATAAATCTGAATTTAATGCACAAATAAAAAAGATGATTCATATAATGTGTGTGTGTGTGTGTGTGTGTTCCTTATTTTTTCTTATGATCTATGTTGCGGACCCCAGTTTGGATAACACTGGTCTAGACAAGCAATGCAAAAGTTCAGAATGCAGCATAACAGCCAACAATAAGGTAAGAAACCTGTTTAAGCTAAGTAGATAACCTTTTTCCAATCGTCTACATATAAAATATAATGGTGTAAACACACACGCACCCACACACCAACCCACACACGTGCATACAAGCATGCACCCACCCACACACACACACACACACGACACACACACACACACACACACACACACACACACACAACACACACATACATACATATACATGCACACACACACACATACAACTTACTCATTCACACATACACACGCACACACACAAACACACGTACAAACACGCACGCACACACACACACACACACACAGGCACAAACACACACATGCACACACATGCACACACACACACACATCAGACACACACACACACACACACACACACACACACACACACACACACACACACACACACACACACACACACACAACACACTGCAGGCACACACACACACACACACATGCAGGCACCACACACACACACAACATCACACACACACACACACACACACACACACACACACACACACACACACACACAACACTCACACACACACTCACACTCACACTCACACTCACACTCACACTCACACTCACACACACACACGCACCACACACACACACACACACACACATACACACACACACACACACACACACACACTGCACTCACACAGCACACACACACACGCACGCGCACACACACACTTTCCCTCACAATATACACATGCGCTCATACACACGCGGGCGCACTCTCTCTCTCAAATACGCACACGCGCACACTCTCACACAGAGCCTCACGCTTTGTGATGATGTATTTGTAAATACATTTCTTGGTTTAGAAATATATATGGAACTATTTATGAATATATGAATATTCAATAAACATTTATATAAATATATTTATGGACTAAAGCATACATTTATATATTTATCTTATACTATTTATATTAATATATGCATGTATATAGTTTTATCTATATATTACTTATGTATTTGTATACACATTGTGTATTTATGTTTGTATGTTTGTCTTAATTATATTATTAATTTATTTATATATGAATTTGCATATATAAATACATAAGTTTATCATTTTATTTTTATTTGTGTACTTTTTATATAGTATTATATACTTTATGTAGTATTACATACATTTGTCTGACTTGTCTATTATCTAATAGATAAGTTGCATTGTTGTTTTCTAATATTCAATAAGCACCTATAATGCAAATTTAAACTAGGATAGGCAGGCAAAAAAAGCTGTATTGAAAATTTATTGAAAAAGATAGAGGATGCCAGAAGAGGCTTTTTACAATGTTAAATATCCAGCATATTTTAAACAAGTCACTATACATATGACACAATCTAATAACACTACGTACAAGCACTGTATAACTGGAAGTTAAAGGCTTTCCTCGTGATTACAAAAAATAACAACTGCATTAATTTACCTACAATTTCAACAATGCTAAAATAGCTTAGGAAAAGAAAATTATCAGTGCTTTTATTTCTATAATTCACAATGCTATTTACAAAAATAAGAAAATTGTTCATTCCTCAAAAATACTAAGTTCTAATGCATATATGGTTATTTCATTATTTATGGCATATACTGTACTTCAAAGTTTTCCTAATAATCAAATCTTTAGACTTAAAATGCATTACTAAATCAGAAGATTTATGGTAACTTTTTTCGATGCAACTAATTTGCTATCACACCGAGGCATCTTGATTCTTCCGGCTGATTTCCTATCCTGTAATCACATGGGCACCTGGTTCAAGTCTTCCAGTTTGTCATAGTCTCCCTCTCCATTGCCACTGCTACTGCCTCCGTTGTTTTTCTCAAAGAAGTCCCTCTCAACCACCTGACATAGCTTAACAAGGTTGCCGAATGACCTGACAATGGTTGCCAGTCGATTGTCAGGGAGAGGTGTGGTCAGGAGAGTGAACAGGTGGCCAAAAACCAAGGCATCCAGCTCTGTTGGTCTGGGTAAGGGGAGGAGAATGTATGAGATATTTATTGTGTTGGAAAAGAATATTCTGTAAGGCAAGAAACAGAGCAACTGAAACAGTATGTGACATAGGGGGGAAAAAAGAGGAAAAGTGGATTTACTGCTTGGAAAATTCTTAAGACAAAAATGTGCTTCAATCCATATTTCCAGTCCTTTTTATAAACTATTTGTGGAGCCTTATTTTACTGATTAATTTTGCTTTCTTTAAAATAACATACATCACCATACTGACACATAACTTTGGCTTCAAGCATTCTTCCCTGGCCAGTAAAGCAAACTCATCGTGCAAGAACATGAATAACAAATAACAAGCTTGCATGCTGCAAAAGGACTAGAATAGTTATGAATAGCTGAATATGCTTTAGCAGACTCACCTGTTTCCAAAGAAAAACTCGTTGTTGTCAAGTCGTTCGGAGAGAGCATTGCAGCAGTGTTCGACTTCATTGTACACCTGTGAATAGATAACTCATCTTAGATACAAGGTGAAGATGATTTTTGGAGAAAATCAGAAGGAACAATATTTTTTTGCCAGTCTTATGTGGTAGTGGAGGTGGTGGCAGTCGCATCGGTCATGGTGAGTATTTACAATACTGTTAATGGTATTGGTATTGGTGATAGTAATGGTAGTGGTACTCTTGGTGGTGGTAGTAATGGTAATGGTAATGGTATTGGCAGTGGTGGTGGTAGTAAGGGTATCAGTATTGGTATTAATGGTATTAGTAGTGGTGGTGGTACTGGTATTGGTAGTGGTGTTGATGGTGGTGGTGGTAGTAATGGTATTGGGTAGTGGTGGTGTTGGTGGTGAAGGTAATGGTAATGGTAATTGTGGTGGTAGTAATGGTAGTGGTAGTAGTGATGTTATTGACTGGTATGGTAATAGTATGTGGTGTAGTAATGTTACTGGTATATTGGTGGTATTACTGGTATTGGTATTGGTGGTGGTAATGGCACTGGTATTGGTATCAGTTGTGTTGGTACCATTAGCAAAACTGGCCACAAACATTGTTGATGATGGTGGTGGTAATGGCATTATTGGTTGTGATAAGGGTATCGGTACCAGTTGTGATGGTACTATTTACAATACAATGCAATTAATGGCCAGCATTGGTAGTGGTGGTACTGTTATTGGTGGTATGATTTTGATATTAGTGGCAGCATGGTAGTGGTATTGATATTGGTGGTGGTAGTACTGGTATTAGTAGTGATGGTAGTGGTATTGGTATTAATGGTGGTGGTGATAGTTTGGTATTGGTATAAGTGGTGGTGGTGATGGTTTAGTACTGGTGGTGTGTGGTGGTGTTTGTATTGGTAATGGTATTGGTGGTGCCATTGGTACTGGTGGTATTGGTACACTTGTATTGCTGGTAGTTTGGTGGTGAAAGTGATGATGGTTCTGTTAGCATTAGTAATGGTGATGATAGTGGTAGTGATAATGTTAACAATAGTTCTTGAGCATTAATACCAATAAAGACGTACGGAATGTGTTACCACGCACAAAAAAAATAAAATAAAAACCACCCCACCTCCTCCAGTGACTTCTGCTTCCAGCCCAGGACTCGGAGGCGTCGCAGGACCTGGTTGCGCTTCTGGCGGGTGAGGACGTGGTTGATGGGCCACGGGTACACGGAGCCATAGCGGGGCCGTGTCACCTCCTCGTAGGTGACCTGGTCGATCCAGGAGAGGTACAGCTGCGGGGGGAGGAAAAGGGAGGGTGATAAATGTAGGGGGAAAAGAGGGAAGGATAATAAATATGAGGGGTAAAGAAAGAAGGAAGGATAATAAACCTGTGCAGGGGTGGGTACAGAAAGGATAATAAAGCTATGGGGGAATGAAGGAAGAATAATAAAGCTGAGGGGAGAAAAAAGGGAGGATAATAAAAGTAGAGGGAGATAGAAGGGAGGAAAATAAGGCTAGGGGGAACAGAAGGAAAGACAATAAAGCTAGAGGGCAAAGAAAGAAGGATAATAAAGCTAAGGGGAGAAACAAAAGGGAGGATAGGATACTAAATGTAGAGGGATACAGAAGGAAGGAAAATAAGGCTAGGGGGGAAAAGAAAGAAGGACAATAAAGCCAAGAGGGGAGGGGCAAGTAAGGATAATAAACCTATATGGAAAAGGTGGAAGGATAATCAAGCTATGGGGAAAAGAAGGAAGGATAAAGCTACAAAATATTTAACTAGAATTACGAAAATTAAAAGGAAATACTTTTTTATTTATATAATAAAGAGGAATATATGAGGGATTAATTACAATGACTAAGAAAAAAAAATTCTCATCAAGGAATTAATAAAAAAAAAAAAATCTGCCACTTCCTGCTTTGCACAGGCAATGGTGCAGACTTCAAATATTTATGCACAATTATTTGCATATAATTAACAATTCTCACATGCAGAATTAAACAAAGAAGTCATTACTAATACAAGTCCTAGTATATTATATACATCTGCTGTAATATAAATAAACCATGTTTACAAATGCAGCCGAGATTTATACAAGCATTTTATAACCCTTTTGCATGCACTTCTTTTCCTGGATAAACTATATCATAACTATTCTAAAATTACATAACCTAAAACAAATATTTCACCAACAACAGTATTTTTACAAATTTAAAAATACATAACCTACAACTATTTCACTAACAATAGTAATTTTAACAACGATTTCAAAAGAACAAAAACAAATATATTCTTACCTCTGCATTTGCCAACACATTGTTCACCAGTGACATGTAAGCTCTCATGTCTGCTTTCTGCGTGGTGTCCAGGCCCTCTGTCAAGGTAACTCCCTTTGGGAAAAGAAACAATTAAGTTAAAAAAAGGAAGAAGATATTGCATTTAATTCCTTCGTAAATTCGTCATGTGATAAATGACATTCTCTGTGATAACGAATACAAAGAATATTAATGATACATATTTTTGTTACCTTTTTTTTCTTTCTTTCTTTTCTTTTTCTTTCTTTCTTTTCTTTTTTTCTTTTTTAAACCATCCCATAATTCTCGAGGGTCGAGGGATGGGAGGAAACAGGAAATAACAAATAGCGAAAACTCTAAGAAACTATCATACTTCAGAGAACGCCTAATACATATAACAAGGATATAAAAATAATAATGGTTCCCTGAAATCATTTCCCTGCCCTAAGGGTCGCCAGATAGGAAAAAAAAAAACTCAAGAGTCGTAACTCAAAAGACTTGAGAAACACCATACATCAACCCCTATCTTATAAACAACACTCCTAGCCCTCCGTGACACACAATCATTCCTATAAACCTTCCGAAGTAAGTGCATTCCAGTCCCTAAGTCACACAATATCTTTTTACCTTTATCATCATTCCCTGAAGTGTATGACCGTAAGTAACCGCTTTCGCTCGACTTACCTTGTTAGCGACAAAGGCCACGATTGGGTCGAGCTCAGCCACCACAAAAGCGCCGGCCTTGATGAACGGCACACGACCTGTAACAAAATACAAGATAGTTAGGATACGTAACTTGTGAGAGGGATGGGAGGGAGGAGGAGGAGGGAGAAAGAGAACGAGAGAGAGGGGGAGGGAGGAGGAGGAAGGGGGAGGATGGAGGTTGGAGAGGAGGGAGAGAGAGAGAAAAACGTGTGTGAGGGGGAGGGGGGTTACGTGTGCGTGCATTGATGTAATGAATCAAACAACATATTCCAGCATCAATTAATAATTCAAGCATACAACTATCGCATGACACAACGCACACTCCATCTCCATCTCCTCAATTGTTAAAATCACAGAAAATAAAACAAAACAAAAAGGAGAGACGATATGAAGTTTATGAATAGTAAAAGTAATATTGATGATTATAAGGATAAATAAAATCACTAATAATGATAAATTACATGGCACTAATAATGGAGGTATTAAATATATTGGTACTACTAACAATGATATTACAACAATGGTTAATGAAATGGTACTAAAATAACGGTTAACAAAATAGCAATAACAGTAATGGGAAAGAAGATGGCAGGACTAAATAAAATGGTAATAATTTCCTTATCATTCCATACCCATACAAACTCTTGATTATCATAATAAAAATAATTACCATCAGTTATTCTTATCATTTCCTGTAAACAAACACCTGACACCAACATGCAGGATACGGAAAAACAAAGACATTTTTCTTTCGTGTAAAATTGGTCGTAAGAATTGCGTTAACCATGGCAATGCCGAAAAGAATACACTAAAACACCATCCAATGACACATTTTTCTTACAGATCTTCAGTAGAGAGCACTGTCATGTTACTTTGCCCCTTACAAAAAAAGTAATAGTAATAATAACAACAATAATATCGATAGCAAAAACAAACAAAGATAATATTAATTATAAAGATAACGGTAAAGCTAGTAATAATAACCTCAGTAATAACAATAAACCATAACAACAATAAAAAATATCAAGAATCAGCAGACACATTCCCCTCAAAGTAATTAATAATGAAAAAGGCAATCCGGCAACTCGACAGCCCTCATGCAACGCCGCTCTAGGTTAGGGGCGAGCCAAGGTCTCTATAGATCTATCTCAGGCCGGATAAACCTGGCATAATAACGTCGGTATATCGAGGGTATGACTCCGATATAACGTCCCGTATAAAGCAAGAGGCCTAACTGCTGTCTATCGAGCGTCACGGAATCATGGAATGGAACCTCAATGAACATTAACGGCGCCATAACACACGCTATAGGAAGAGGGGAGGGGGTATATGGAGGGAAGGGGAGGGGAGGGGATGGAGGATATGGAGGGAAGAGGAATGGGGGAGAAGGGAGAGAGGGGGAGATGCGGATGGAATGAGGAGAAAGGAAGGAGGGGGATTACGTGGGGAGAGGGGGGGATGGGGTGGAGGAGGGGGTGGGGAGACGGTGTGTGGAGAGTCGCAAGCATGGATATTTCATTCGATTCTCTCTCCTCCTCCCTCTCCTTTAATCCTCTACTTCATCCACTCTCAGAGGCTCTAGTTCTATTTCCTTTTCTCTCCTGCTCTTCTTCCTTTTCCTTTTTCCTCTCTTCTCCCATCTCCCTATTTCCTCACTCTCCCAGATCCCCCAACCTCTCTCTCTCCCTCTCATCCCCTCTATCCTCTCATCTCTCCTCACCCATGCCCCTTCCTTCTCCCTCTCCCATTTCTTCACCCTCTCTCCTTCCCTCTCCCTCTCCCTCTCCTTCTTCATCACCCTCTCACTTTCCCCCCATCGCCACTATGGCAGACATGATAAATTCACGAGCAGTCTATAACGGCCCTAAACACGAGGGCGACGGCGCGGGAAGAGAAGTGAGAAAAAGGAAAATGGGAAAACACATAGAAAATGGTAAACGATAAAAAATGAGAATTCGCATAGAAAATGGGAAGACGATAAAAAATGGGAAAAGCATAGAAAATGGTAAAACGATAAAAAAAATCGTAAAACGATTTAAAAATGGGAAAACGAATTAAAAAGTACTAAAAGGTAACTACGGAGGATGAGGAAGAAAGGAAAATACATATGAGAAATGAGAAAAAAATATAGGGAGCAGGAATGAGGAGAGAAATATACGGGAGATAAAGAGAAGAAACAAAATGGAGGGAAAGAAATGGGAGTAAAAAAATAGAAGACAAATAAAAAGATGATGAGAATATATACGAAAACACATAAAAACAAAGAAAAAAGAACGGAGAGAAAAGAACAAAAGCTGAAAGACAGAAAAAATAAATAGAGAAAAAAAAGAGACAAAGAGGCTGAAAGAACAAAGAAACATAAAAAGAAAAAATACAAAATAAAAACAAAAGAGAGAAAAAAAATATAAACCGAAAAAGAGAGAGAAAAAAAAAAAACACGAGAAAGTGAGAACAAAAAAACGTGATGGAGCGCCAGGACGAAACGCCAGAGTATAGATGGCGTGATGTGGCGTTACAGGAAGCCGTGTCCGTTATTTATATCGGTCATGCATTCTTTATAGTCATGCATGCATACCTCCTGAGCCTCCGCCTCTTCCTCTTCTTCTTCTTCTTCTTCTTCTTCTTCTTCTTCTTCTTCTTCTTCTTCTTCTTCTTCTTCTTCTTCTTCTTCTTCTTCTTCTTCTTCTTCTTCTTCTTCTCCTCCTCCTCCTCCTCTCCTCCTCCTCGACCCTTAGCATCCCTCCCCTCTTTTCTAGACCTTTGTCCTCTCTTAGGTTTTTCTTCTCCTCTCTCCCTCTTTTAGCATCAATCCTCTCTCTCCCTTCTTCACAATTCTTTTTCTTTACTTTTCCTTCCAAAGTTCCCCCTTTCCCTTTCCCTCTCTTCCTTCTCCCTCTTACCTTCCTTTACCCTCTTTTACCCTCCCTCCCTCTCTTCCAATCCCTCCCTTCCCTCCTTACCTTTTCTTTACCTTCTTACCCTCCCTCCTCTCTACCCCCTACCTCCTCCCTACCCCTCCCCCTCCCCCTTACACCTGTTTAACCTACGCACGTTGAATTATTTACCTTCCCTTTATTCCCCTTTCACTGGCTCTGGATGTTGACGGATTAGAGAAAAACAATGACATGAAAAAGGCGGATATTCTGGCCTTTATTTCTTCACATAATAAGGAAGAAATTACAATGATTAAAGTGACCGAGGTGGCTGAGGTTATCTAAAGTTGTAATGATATTTTTTTATATAATATTTCATGATCGCTATATCAATTTTTTCACTGTTATTAGCTTTCTCTTATATTTACGAAATTTATCTGGAGTTATTATAATCTTTACCTTTGTAATTATCTTCATTACGATTTTTGCAATCTTTATCTTCGTAATTTCTCTATCTATTTCTAATTTCTAATAATTTCTAATCTATTTCCATGAATTTTTTAGTGATCCTTCTTTACTTAATTCTGAATAACCTTATACTTTATTATCTATATTATTATTACCAAAATCTCTTCATCTATTTTTTTTTTTACCAAAATCTCTTAACTTGTTTTCTACTACTTTTCCTTCCTCCTCCTTCCTCTCCCTCCTTCCTCTCCTCATTATCATCACCCTCCTCTCCCTCTTTACCCTCCCTCCTTTTCCCCACGACCCCAAACCCTTCCCAAAACCACGCCCATTCACCTTCCCGCTCCCCTTCCTTGCTTCCCGCCCGTAAATCACGCCCGTGTGTCAATAACCTCCTAAAAAGAACTTGCGTCGCCCCCCCTTCCTCGCCTCTCCCAGAACCGCGGGAATCTGTTCGTCCCTTGTACTGGATCCCCGGTTATGAGATAATAAATGATAATAAAGTTAATTTGTTTCTGTTTTTTGTTTTTTTTCTGGCCGTGAGATGAGGATGTGTTGTTTATGTTTTTGTTGTTGTTGTTTTTCCTGGCCGTGAGATGAGGATGTGTAATGTAAATCTATTTTCCGTGTCATGAGATTTCCAAAAGATTAAATGTCTTCCTGGTCATGAGATGATGAATAAAATCAATCTGTTTTTTCCCGGCAATGAGAAAATCGCAAATTAGATAAATATATTTTCCCGGTCGTTTGATAATAAGGAATAAAGCAAATCTGTTTTCCTGGTCAGGAGATGATAATAAATGAAATGATAATAAGAGAGGGAGAGAGAGATGGAAGGGGAAAGAGAGAGAGGGAGAATGGTTTAGATTTAATAAATAATACAAGGTATAACACATTAGGTTATTCGAGACAAAAGTGGTGCGTATAAATTTATCGACGCTATGTACGAACCATACATAATTTTTTTCTCTCTTTTTTATTCTCTCTACGAAAATACCACGCAACTTGGATTATATTCCTATTTCCCCCTCTCTCTTTTTCTACATTCCCATACACACAACGTAGAAAAAAAAATCGAATATCGAATACATCCAACAAATAAACTCCCTTTTCTTCTTCTTCTTCTTCTTCTCCCTCTCTCCTTGCCACCATCTTTTCCCTAACCTCCCCTTCTCCTCCCCCCCCCCATCTTCCCATCCTCTTTCTCTCTCAGTTCCTCTCCTTCCATACGCCAACTCTGAGTTTGCAAAATGCGTAACCAATAAACTGAATAACGAATTCCTCGTATATGGGACGCGAATTCTCTCTCTCATTCACGCGGTATCTATCGATCTGGAATCTATCGATCGGATTAAAATGATATCAGAGTGAACACTGACATTGGCGATAGAAAAGGAAGCAGAGAAGATAGAAAAAGATGCAGACGCAGTAGATGAAAGATAGATATATGGAGAGAGAGAGAGAGAGAGAGAGAGAGAGAGAGAGAGAGAGAGAAGAGAGAGAGAGAGAGAGAGAGAGAGAGAGAGAGAGAGAGAGAGAGAGAGAGAGAGAGAAGAGAGAGAGAAAGAGAGAGAGAGAAAAGAGAGAGAGAGAGAGGAGAGAGAGAGAGAGAGAGAGAGAGAGAGAGAGAGAGAGAGAGAGAGAGAGAGAGAGAGAGAGAGAGAGAGAGAGAGAGAGAGAGAGAGAGAGAGAGAGAGAGAGAGAGAGAGAGAGAG